GACCATAATAAAAAAAATAATAAAATGCAAACTAACCGATAATGATGTTTTCAGGATGGACCAATCATATAATAGATTGGTAATCAACAAACTCAAAACCAAATGTAGGTCCAGAAAAATCATGACACTCCGTAACAACAGTTTCATGGACAAAACTAAGCTTATGATCTTGCCGAGTTAAAGTAAAACCACCCATCCTTTGAGATGCAAAGCTTGGACATTTTATGTAAAATGTCAATCCATCTTTTAGAATGTTTTTGAAACGATAGATATTTTTTCTTGTTACATTTGCTTGGATCTTAGTACCCTAAAAGAAGTAGAAAATATAAATTTATAATTTAATCATATTAAATTTTGCATGTGGAATGAATATATCATGTTAAATTGTAAGATACCTGCTCATCTATTAAGATTAATTCAATGGAGAAAAGTTCGTCATTGTTATAGAATGAAAAAAGGTTCCATAGGTTTATCACTTTGACTTTGATAGTCGAATCATCTTTAAGTACATCCAAATCTGCAATCAAAGTAACATTTGGCTGTGCCATCGGTCTGCAAAGAAAAAACAAAGTCAATAAAAAAATTTACAATTAAATTCAAATTCCCTTTTTGTGTTATGTAACTATTGCAGCAGAAAGTAAGATGCTATAAATGGATTAAAAGTAAACAGGTCTTATAGGCATATGATTATAAAACTGTAAAATACGAAAAAAATAAATAAATAAATAAAGAAACCAAATCACAGTTAATAAGACAACAGAAAGAATCAAAGCCATTTTTCACATTTGATTGATAAAATGTAAAAATAAATAACATAAAGCATTCAAATCACATAAAGCATTAAAATAAAATTAAAATATTTTTTTAGCTTTGAGTATTAAATTGAAATAATACAAATTTATGTTATATAATTGTTCATACAGAAAATATGATGTTATACATGTAAAAATAAATCACATAATGCATTCAAATCAAAGAATAACTAAAACATAGCTGCTGTATAGCGTGCATTTTTTGTCCTTTGATTAAAAAAAAGTAAAATATGAAAAAATAAAGGAAGAATAGATTTCATTTCACACAAACGCATGCAGTAACAATAAAAAAAACAAAATAACATAAAGCATTCAAATCACAGCAACAATTAAACATAGTTACTGTGTGTATTATACACGAATATAAAATGAAATAAAATAAACTTATGATTGCATTTTAATCAAATAAACAGAAACATACCTGATGGATTGAACACATAACACCAATAACAAAAACAAAGTGACATTAAGCATTCAGATCACAGTAACATTCAAACATACCTGATTGATTGATTGAACACAAAACAGGTGCAGACTGAAAAGAATAAAACATCAAAGGAAGATCGCAATTTTGTTTTGGGGGTTCGGTTTTTATAACACGATGAAATTAACAAAATGAGGTATATATGGTATAAGATTAATAAATATAAAAATAATGCAACTTTTAAGGGATATAGTAAATAAAAATTCAAAAAACCAAATCTTTATTTGAAATGATTCAGTCAAATGAAATCTATATATTTTTTAATTTTTATATTTGAAGAGATAAGTTTTAAAATTAATTTGATTGCATAGTTTTGATGCATGTAATATCGGATATGAGATAAATGCTATAATTAACCAAAACTCAAATCGAGTTATTTAGGAAGTGATGATCAAATGATGCAGTAGAAGTCAACGATTTGTGTTAATTTGATTCCTGATTTACAGGAGATATGCTTGATTTTGAAGATTTTAATTTCACTATATTTATTGTAAAACAAATAAACGATTGCCATAAAAATAGGATTGATATCAATGTTTATTTGCAGGATTTTCAAAAATTGTGTCCTGATTTTTAGGAGCTGCTGTATTCGTTTATGAGGTGCAAAGAATGGGTGGGAAAATGAATCAGAAGGGTTCCCTATAGATGACACGTGGCAAGTTGGTGTTGCAAAAGAGGACACGTGGAGTTTAAAGGACTCTTTTATTAAGAAGAGATATGGGTTGGGCCTAATGTACGGGTTAGGCCCATTGGTATCCATGGTATGTGATATTACAGTGAAATAACTAAGCTTTATGCTTATGGTTTGTGATTTAACACTTTCAGGTAATTATAGTTCTAAAAGGAAGGGTCTAACGTGATTGCACAACCTCCCCTCGATTTTATTCCGCTTGTTATTTGATTTTACTCCAATGTTAAAAATATTTGTTCTATGGTTAATTTGGAAAAACTTGGTTGTATTTTTGGGTGTTTGGAAATTAAAAATTTTACCACTCTTTCTGGGATGTTACATGCTTTAAATACCCACTTGCAACCTGCATGTTTTACACCTTTAGGGAGTTCAAACAAGTTCCCAAAAGTAATTTTTACTCATGTAATCAAGTTCATCGATCATAGATTCATTCCATTGAGAAAATGTCACTACTAATGGCTTCTTGATAAGATGTTGGATCATTGTACTTTCCTATATCCATATCAGCTTCATTATGGTCGATTACAAAGTTAGTGGGTCTTCTAAACCTAGATGACATCCTTAATGACGTTTTGGGTTCACGAGCCTTAGTGATAACAAGGATTTTCTCCTCTAAGTGAGATGCTCCTTCATTCATTGGAGGGTATATCAAACAATTTCATTTAGTAAGTTAAATATTAAATAAAACAATTAAAATAAAAAATAAGGATATATTGATCATTTTAAGTCGTTAGCGGCTAAAGAGGCAACAAAATCAAATTATAGGGACGAACCAAGTTAAAAAAATATTACGGGCCAAAGACTCAAATTAACCAAAATCATAGCATGATTCTTCTAATTTACTCAAAATATAATAATAATATGAAAAAGTCCGCACAATTCTTTCGTTTCTACCTTTTATGGTCAATGCACATTCGGTATTTTTTTCCAACGACGATGATACTTCCCTATCAAACCATATGATTTCTTCTTCAATCTGGTTAGGGCATGTTTGGGATCTCAGCTCAAAGACTATATTGATTTTTTGGAAAAGCCAAAAATTCGTAGTTTTTGAAAAAATATTCATCACTAAAAAATTAGTGTTTACGAATCATGTTTTTTAACTTATTAGTAATCCTTAATAAAATTCCATTTTCATCCCTCCCAACCGATCTTAGGGCTTCTAACTTGTACACAAATATCTCACGCTGTCTTCCTAATGTTGATTAATTTTCAATAAACAACGTCCCTTTATGTTCATGTCAATCCAAAAATTCCTAGTTGACTTTTTTTTTAATGAATTTGCATTTTATAAATCGGATTCAGAAAAGCCAATCACTTCTAATCTATTAGTTCCTTTATATGTTAGTTTGCTGTCTTTTTTTCCCTTAAAGATATCGCCACACTTTCCTTGTTTTTTCCAATGACCTAGGCATGTATTAGATTGATATCAGCTTAGAATTCCAACAATATAATCGATATTGGGACGAGTATAAACTTGAGCATACATTAGGCTTCCAACTATAGAAGCATAAGGTATGAATCTCATACGTTAATTTTCTACCTCCGTTTTCGGGTTTTGAATAGAACCAAAAATGTCTCCTTTAACTACAGGAGCAACTGAGGGGGAGCAATGTTTCATGTTCTAACGTGAAAGAACACTTTCAATGGAATCATTTTGAGACAATCCTAATGTCCCATTGGCCCGATATCGGTGTATTTTAATGTCGATCACGTACGAGACTTCCCGGAGATCTTTCTAGTCAAAATGGTGCGAAAGTAATCGCTTTGACTCAAGCAAAAATTAAGACCATTACTAGCCAAAATAATATTGTCAACATAAAGAACAAGTATTGAAAAATTGCTCCTACTCATTTGAAGGTAGGTACACTAATCCACTTGATTTTATTAATGACATTCTTTTTCATGACTCCATCAAACTTTAAGTACCGTTGTCATGATGCTTGTTTTAACCCTTATATGAACTTCTTAAGTATATATACAAGGTGTTCTTTACCTTTAGGCTTAAAGCCTTCTAGATGAATCAGTAACACATCATCGTTTAAATCACCATTAATGAAAGTTGTTTTAACGTCCATGTGATGTAGTTCCAAATCAAAATGAGCTACTAGGTCCATAACGATCCTTAGGGAATCCTATGAAACAAGAGAGAAAGTCTCTTGATATTCGATTCCCTCTTTCGGGTGTAGCCTTAACCAAGCGTGAGTTATATCATTCGATGTTCTCATTCGGGTCTAGCTTAGTTTTAAAGACTCACTTGCATCCTACACACTACAAGAAAATTCCTTTTTAGTGACCAATGTTTTAGTTACGACTGAAAATCTGATCGCTAACAATATTCTTTAGTCACCATATATTAAGTGGTCACTGAATTTTGGTAGTTGTACATACTTAGTGACCAAATCGAAGATAGTTGTCACTGAGTGGTCACTAACAATTATTATTGTTATTTAATTTCATAACAAGTATTATTGACTAGAATTAGTGGTCATTAATTTGATGTTTAATGACCAAAAAAAGTTCTCACTGCATTGAAGATTTAGTGACCAAAATATTGGTCATCAATTGTCATTGGTTTTTCAAACACACACATAGTGACCACATAATATTGGTCACTGCATGAAAAAAAATAGTTACCAGAAAATGGTGGTCACTAATATAAAAAAGGAACATAAGTGATTTTTAATTTTTTTTACCTGATAAAATAAATTTATATTTTTTAACCAAACTTTTTCTAAACAATCATAAAAAAGGTATATAATACGTATTTTTTGTTATACAAATAATTTGAATTTATAATTCATGTCATGTATTTGGAATGGAAACACATATGAAAACGAATATTTGGCATCATAATCATCAAGTGTTAAGTTATTCCGTTCAATTCCGCCGGAAGGAAACCGGAATTCACCATCGCCATCAAACGACGTGTGCAAGGAGGTCCGATGTGTGGAAATAGACGAATCCACCAACAATCAATTATCTTCGGAATCACAGTCACCTCCCGTTTCCAATGAAGAAACGGAATCAGAATCAATCTTGGGTCCCATTGCAAGACCCCAATTCGAAACCGCATCAACATCTGGCATTGGAGCAAAACTTCCAAGATTTAGAAAACATGATAAATTCTATAGTCACACCATCGGAAGAACCCTACGAAGAACAAGAAGTACAATCAGAAATATCAAATTCCACGAGTTTTAGGTTAATGAAAAGTCGGAGTTGTAGAGCTAATCCTATGACGAATTCTTCACCACTGGAATTTGAGAACACCCCCGCCTAATGATTTTGATAAAGGGTTTCCAGGAAGACTGGAGCGGAAGCTATGGGAACTGCCGCCACCGGAGTATGGTGGTGCCACTAGTGGAGGGTTGTTGAGAAGTGACTCGCAGTCATCTCTTGGAAGTACTTTATTGGACGAGGTAAATGCTCGGAAGGGTAAAACATCTGGAGAAGAAGATATTCCTAGTGTAGATACATTTGTTGCAGGATTGAAGAAAACGGCAAAACTTCAGTATGACCAGGTTTGTGCATATAAATCAAAGTTGTAACAGTCCGAAATTTCCAGGTATTTATTATTGGTGTATTTTTGAGAATTGTGAGTGGACTCGGCGAGTTGGAGCTCAGACTCGCCGAGTAGGATCGCGATTTTGGACGCGGGTTCGCGTCTGGACTCGGCAAGTCCAAGAGTGGACTCGGCGAGTCCACGCTGTGTAATGAGACCCTAATTCCCAAGGTTTGAGACCTATTTAAAGGGGCTTATGGCCATCATTTGCGACCACCAACCCCTAGAGAGAAATCCTAAAGAGATTTGAGCGTTTTGGGAGAGAAAAGAGGCCATTATTGACCTTTGGAACTTGGTTTGGCAAGGCAAAGGAGATTCTAGCTAAGAAGAGGCAAGGGAAGTGGACATTCTGCGATTTTGGAGCTCAGAGCATCATCTTGGAGGGATATCTTGGCTTCCTTTTACATTTTTATGATGAACATGGGGGTTTAGGGTTTCTTGACCCATTTGTTGGCTAGATTTGATGTCCATTTCGTCCCTAATCATGATAAGGCTTGAGATGAGATCCATAGAGGTCCAGAAGAGCTGTATTCCTTAAGCTTTATGAGTGTTCATGAGAGCATTGGCCTAGATTTATGAGATATAGGGCTAAAACATCATTTATGAGCAAATAGTTATTGTTTGAGCCCCAAGGTTTGGACTTTACGTGATTATCATGCATGGGGAGGCCAGATCTATGATTGTATGGAACAGATCTGACCTCAGAAGTGAGTTTGAGTCGTTGCATGGTATGGACTCGCCGAGTCCGAAGAACAGACTCAGCGAGTAGCATGAAGATTGCCCAGCACCACTCAGCGAGTGGTCTTGCCGAGTTGAGGGATTGACTCAGTGAGTCAGGGAGAGTCAGAGTGGGTTGACAGGTGGACTGAGTCAAGCTAGGACTTGCCAAGTTGTTCTTGTGACTCGGCGAGTTGAGTCGTGGAGGCCCCACAACTCATGCCAGGTGGAACTCGTCAATCTAGGAGAATACTCGTCATGTCAAGTGAGGATCCCAGGGAAATCAGTGTATGCGCATAGACTCGTCGAGTCGCTATAGTGCACTCGCCGAGTCCGATCAAAGTTGATCGTTGACCAGTGTTGACCTATGTTGACTTGTTAAGGGATAGTTAACCTTAGTTGTGAAGTGTTATTTAGAGATGTATTGTATTATAGGAGGACTATAGATCGGGAGATCGAGCATGAGTGATTTCAAGGACTTGCGAGTTACCGAGATACGCAAGGTGAGTCTTCTCACTATACATAGCTTGAGTAGGTCACTAGAGTTATGTGATACAGTGCTTGTATGCTATATTTGTGTTATGTGTTACGCTGTATTATTCTTTGTGATTTATGATGTGCATGTTTATAGAGTTAGAACCTGAGGGTTCACAGAGTTTGGGTGCACGGACCCACAGAGTTATAGCCTCGAGTGGCTAATATGTGTTATATGTGGTATTTTGGGGAACTCACTAAACTTTGTGCTTACAGTGTTTTGGTGTTATTTGTTTCAGGTACTAGTAATGACCGTGGGAAGGCGCCGACTTGATCAGTACACACGCATGGGACTTTATGATTTTGAGATCTTGGGATTTTTGTATTACTTGGATTGAGTTTCAAACATGGTTGTTTTATGAATATTAAGTAAATTATGTTTTATAAAATTTGAAAATTTTGTTTTGAAATTTACGGTGTTACAAAAGCATTGTAGTTTTAATTTTTTTCCAACACGAATTTGTAATTGTTTGGAGAAGAACATGAAAAGAATACGATTGGATTCATTTCCTGGTTCTAATAAGGGTAATTTGTCTTTTTATATCAGTTAGGGACCTTTTTCGTTATAAAAATAAATTTTCAGGACTATAAGTGTTCAAATTAAAACTCAGGACCTCATTCAAAAAAGATATATAACCACAAGGACCATTTTTATAATTTACCCTAATAACTGAAAAAAAAACCCCACCCTGTTTTTATCAATCGATCACTGGAAACCACATAAGAACTCGAACCCTAGCCTATCATCCCTCTTTCTCTCGCTAGAAACATCTACTAAAAACTCTTCAGTTTTCTCTCGTCGTGTTCCTCTCTTATTTCGTTGGAACCCTAGCAGACTCCTTGTTTGATTTGTGGTCCGATTTCTGAAAATTAATTTGGACTCTAAAGCTGTACATGATCGATTTCTAAGAATCAATTTCTCATAGCGTCAACCGAGAGCTAGCTCGTGCCACCATGACAAACACCACTGACACCATGTTAACTATCCGTAACAACTCACCGCAACCAATTTCCAAATTTCAGAAGCATGTTTGGACGATTGAGCTCAGATTACTTCATCTACATGGTAGATTGATTGACTGCATGTTATTAATGTATCCAGGTAAACATTCTTCAAGTATGGAACACAATTCATCTACTTTATATCTTAAGTTATCAATTGTTTGTGGTTTTTAAAATTTTTTCTTACTTTATTTATACCAAATTTGGTTTTTGGTTATTTAGTAGCGGTTTAACGTTGATATAGTTCCTAATTTGGAAGTTCAGTTTTGCTTCTTTTTTATTCTAATTATCCAAATGCAAATGTGAATGATATGTAAAGCTTAGCATGTGATAATTATGGAAGTTTGATGTTTTAAATTTGTAGGCTGAGGACGAAATTGGGATTAACATAAAGTATGCCATGAGAGCTCTTAGAAAGCATCATCTTGAGGTGGAGGGAGCTTATCCCTGCTTTTACAACTATCTCAAAACCTATTGCTTTTCAGGTTCCCTTTAGCTATATTAGAAAATCCAAGAATAAGGATACAATGTTGCTTTATTTTGTTTTTCTAATTGGAACTTAGCCCATATTTTTATTAAACAATAAAACTTCTATCAACCAACAAAGCCAACATATAGCTGACACAAACAAAATACAAAGACACAACACTAACACCCTTGGATAAAGACTAAAACCTAAACATTAGATATAAAATTTCAACATTAAGAGGTATAAGGTAGCCTAAGATACAGAATTCAAAAGCAGCCACTTAGAATTCCATTAATGCCCTTAAGTTTGAGAAAATCTCCAACTATAAGCATCCCCAACAAGATATGAGTAGCACCAAAACTAGTCACTAAAAAGATAGAAAATAGACATAATTAAAGTTCTTTTGATTTGTTTGAGACCTTGAAACACAGACAAACAACCTCTGAAGGTGAATAAACCATTAGAGTCATTCATTGACATGTATGGGGACATCTTAAATTGAAAATTTTTAGAGTTTTCTTCCAATTACAACAACGTACTTCTGTCTATGAAGCATTAAATAGCTACTAACTCCCATGATAATCCTTATTTCAGACCCACCTTGAGCTTTTTACACATCAAAGTAGACATACTAGAGCCATCTTTTCGCTAATACCCCTTAGTATAAGTATGCTATTTTGTTTCTCAACCAATAAAACATAAATGGAATTAAGAAAAAGAATAATGAGGAAAATATTTAGGAAGATGACAAGAATTTAGAAATAGCCACCAATAAAAAAAATGAAATCTTATTTTGTTTCGCATACAATTGCTTTAGCCCAATTTTCAAATATTAACTCAATCGATTATTTTTCTTCTCGATTCTCTAATCTCTCTCGAGTCTCTGTTAGTGATTTAATCACATGAGTTTATTGGAATTCATGACTAATCTATTAAGGTATTCATTAACGTTTAATTGATTTTTATATTTTGATTTTGTGTTTAAAAGCTGAAACCAAATGAAGTATTTAATAATTGTTCTTTAGATTTGATTTTCTGATTTTTAGATGTTAATGGTCTAGTGTGCAATGGCAGTGGGTTTCATGTTCATTCTTTTGGTTGGCTTGTGCTTAAAAGTTGAAACCAAATGAAGTACCTTTTTTTTTGTTGGCCGAATGCTTGTAAACATGTGTTTTAGTTCGTACTTTAGTCTTTAGGCATCAAATATTTGAAGAACGAAATGAATACTTTATTTATTTAGCAAATTAACAACAACCTTTGTCAAATTTAAGGTTTAAATATAGTTGAAAAACATCAAGCATGGCTTTGTTCAATATCATAATGAAATTGTTTGGTATATTTATATGTAGATTTGAAAAGTAAAAGCACATTAAAGGAAATTTTTTCTTAAAATGCTCGAGTATGAATCAAAAACCAAACAATATCGCCATCTGCCTAATGTCAACCATCATGGTTATGTTACTTCTTAATAAAGATATATTGGATAACGTTGATTATTAGTTTATACTTTTATTAGTGATTTTACATCTAGAAAAAACTCACACCAATATTTTTTTTATAACTTTGTGCAGTTTCATATTTATAACATCAGTTGCATAATTGAATAAAAAAACCAAAGTTGGAACAAGTAGCTTCTTTCAAAGCTTAATGAACCTCAATTGTAAGTTTTTCATCTCTTTTATCAATTTGTATATGAATTTTGATATTTTACTTTAAATTATTGGAATTTGAAGGGGCCCTTTCTTTCTTTTTGCCCTGGGCCTCTTATCTATTGGAATTTTGATATGTTCAATGTTGAAGACTTGAAAGATGAAGAAGCAAATGCAAAAGGATGGCTTGGAATTATGATGATTTTGTTTTGTACTAATGTTTTTTTAATTACAGGTCTGATCAACTAACAACTGTACGCTTTCAAGAAGCTATGCCAACAATTCAACAATAAGTTTTAAATGATGAAACTTGTGCTCTTAAGGTATTTGCAAACTACATATTTAGTCCTCCTGCTTATCAAAATTATGGATTTGGTCCCTAACTTGAGAACTTTTAATCTTTTTTATCACCATATTTGTACGTCTTGTTAAACTCTACAAAATGACCATACTACCCTTATAGGTGGAGTTATCAAGATTTCTTGATATTGCGATAGGCTCAGCAAATTAAGTGTTTGTATGACCAGGTGAGAAATAGCAATGTACTTTACTCTTTGTACTAATATAGGCAATATGCTCTGTTTTTTTTTCACTTATTTACCATAATAGCAACATACTTACATTTTTTTATCTATAATTAATAGCAATATGTGGTGAATAAAGTAGAATGTTATATTTGTTAGCATTTGGTTGAGTGGTTTTATTTATTTATTATTATAGGTGATTGAAGTAACAAAGAATGTTGAGATGGGTAATAAGGAGCTAACTCAAGCCATACAGAGGAGCAACAAGAGGAACAACAATTGCAGAATTTTTCTCTTACTTTTCATTGTTTTTACTTTTACTATTTTTTTTCTTGATTGTTATAATTAATTAACACTTAAATCGATGGACTCATCATTTAACTTACAAAGTATGTTATTTATTTATTTATTTATTTTATTTGCAATTTTAAGAGCTCAAAATGTATATTGATCCCATTGTAGATAGTTTTAGGTTTGAAGATGCAAATAATAGGAACTTATATTTATTGATTTGTTTACTCTATCATTACAACTGAACGCAGTGACGATTTTTTTGGTCACTAAATGAGTGACGATTTTTTATGGTCACTAGTTGGATTAAACTGTGACGACTTCCTTTGATCAGTGACTACTTTTAGTGACGGAATGAGTGGTCACATATATAGTGACGACTATAATTTAGTCACTATTTAGTGACCATTATATATTTTGGTCACTATATCAGTTTAGTGACGGACCTATAGTGACGAAAAGTGACGACCAAAATTTTGGTGACTAAATCACTTAGTGACAACTCTTTCTATTGTTAGTGACTATTTCATTTTCGTCACTAATTGACAATTTTTTTGTAGTGTACATGTTTTACACCGTTAGGGAGTTCAACAAGTTCCGAAACATAATTTTTACTCATGGAATCAAGCTCATCAATCTTAGCTTCATTCCAGTAACACTACAAGAAAAATCCTAAATAACTACGGAAAGTTACTATGGAATGAAAATCCATTGCTATTTTACTACGGAACGACTTGTCATAGCTATTTTGCTATATAAATGGTTACGAAATTGCATTATATAGCCAAATCTTAAATAACTACGTAAAGTTGTTAATGAATCTAAATTCATAGTTATTTTAATACGGAATATGTTACAAAATAGTTGGCTGTAACTAATTTGCTACGGAAATGACTACGGAATTGCATTCCGTAGCTAAATCTTGAATAGTTGCTACGAAATTAAAAACCGTAGCTAGTTTACTACAAATAATACTACAAGTTTTTTGGTTGTAGCTAGTTCTCTATGAAACTTATTACAAAATCCATGTATGTAGCTAGTTGGCTACATAATTAGGTACAAAATAAAAATTCGTAGCTAGTTAGCTATAGAATTAAGATCCATAGCTATTTTGCTAGGAAAATTTGCCACAAGATAAAATTTTGTAACTAATCTATTATGGAAGTTGTTACAAAAAGGTGAATTTGCAAAATAGCTATGAAATCAAAATCTATAGGTATTTGGCTACGGGAAAATTTCGTAGTTAAATAGTTACGGAATATGTTTCCATAGCAAAATATAGAAGATTATTGAAATAAAAATATATTAAAAATACACAATTATTTTTGAAAACTCAACAACAAAAATAAAATATTATTTATAATTCTTTTGAAAATTTAATTATAATATTATTTTTACATTATAAATACAATTAGATTTTGATGACATACATTTGCTAATTATATTTGAAAATTTTACTTTATTTGATGTTTTTATTTATATAGAATAAATCTTATAAAATAAAATATTTGAATTTAATTATGTGTAAAAGTAAATAATTTCAATATAAAGTTAAGTTATTAAAATATGAGCCTGTTTATTAAATATAAACAATGTACGAGAAGGGGGATTAATAGTGTGTAAAGTTGATGAAAACTATAGAATAACGATATCATAAACCGCTTATTAAAATATGTTCATGAGCAAATGTTTTTTTGAATATTTGTAATTCTATTTTTTTTTATTTAAAAAAAAATAGAAAAGACACAGTAAGATAATGGCTTAAAATTAAATCCTTTCACATTTTGATTTACCAATAAAACAAATAAAGGACATACGTTGCTAGGGTAAAAAACGTGTAGTATTTAATTGGATGTAATCTTATTAAGGGCAAATGGGTCAAATCACATGATCCAAATATACTTCTTCCCCAAATTAGAAAACAGTCGATCGTGTCTTTGTTCCAAAAACTATGCCGATCGCAAATCTGAAAATTGTCGATCTCGGAAAATTGGAAGTTATGAAGTATTCAATTGGCTATACTTTTGCTCTTTACTCATTATTTTGACCTAATTCCGCATTCTTCATTCCTCAGTTTCCCCCAATCTCCACTTACGCCATTATCGATCGGGCATCATTCTATAAGTAGATTTTTCTCGATCGTCCCTACCAGGTAACATTCTTCTCCGTTCTTCTGTATTTAATAACTGATAATTTCACTTTTTTTTTTTTTATGAATTTGTTTCGCATTGATTATCCTTTTATTTCGCTTGATTCTATGATATCTATATACATATAAGGGGGTGTTTGGCTTAGCTTTTCTAAGTCAAAAGTTCTTTTTGTAAAAGAAAAAAACAAAAAGATGTTTGGCAAACTAGTAACTTTTGGAGTTTTAATACAAAGAAAAACAACTTTTTGGAAAAGTCAGGATTTCTGACTTTTTGTAACTTTTTGGAAAAGAACTTTTGAGCTTTTAAAAGCTAAGCCAAACACGCCTTAAGTTTGATCGAGAGTTAAATTAGGATACAAGAACAGAGAGCTACAAATCATGCAATTTGATCATCGCCTGGAGGAGGCAATTCCAGTCCGATAATCTGTAGGCGGTGGGAAGCAGCTTCTTTGAGTTTATTTCTTCGAAGTCTCTTCCTCCGAGCTCTTGTGAGATTTTGAGACACTAATTCATCATCTTCCTCGCTTGACGTTGAGAAGTTCGTTTCCGCTTCTCTCTCCAATTCATCTGTATCTATAAAATTTTCGTAAATTCAGAGTGTCAAGTGTATAGACAGATTTCTCGGAACGTAGCTTCAATTTGTGTTCACATAAACAAAATAAAATCAAAAGTTAAACCCACTAATACGATGATGATCTGAATTGGCGATTTCACGGGCAAAATCGAGGGTTTGTTGATCATATTTGTTCTCAGGAGGTGGTGTCGAAGGTGGAGTATAGAGCATGTTAATCAGGGAATCATGAAACTTTCATTGTATCTCCTTTCTCTTCATGGTGCTAAAATTGGTAAATTGGTGGAACAAAAGCATTCATAATAGACTAACATGTTTTAAGGGTTTCAGATGAACAATCTGTTTCCTGAAGGGGGTAACTTGTGCTTTCAAGTTTCTTGAGCTTTCAGTCACATTATGCCATGAATAGTGAGACATCAAAACCCCAACAAAGACGACTGTTAGAATCCCACTGAGTTCAAATAGCTGCAAAATATAAATTTATCATATCTAACACACTAATTATATAACAGATTTTAAAAAATGCATATTAGAAGAAGCTTTTTACCTCTACCAACATGTAGGACAAATATGCTGCAAGAACCATCAAAGCAATTTCTCTGGCACTTGAATGCCTGTGAAAGAGATAATTAATGTGTTAAACATGTATAAACTCTCCAAAAAGAATTATCATATTTGGGTTTTCCTTAATTGAAATAAATATCAACCTGCCAACATACAAGCCTCTAAGAATGTATGCTGTCACAAGCCCAACCTGCAGAAGATTTTAACAAGTCAAAAAGCTTAGTTCATGAATCATATATGAAGACTAAGAGATTTTTATTTGGACTTACTGAAACTCTAAGAAGTGTGCTTGTGGTGAATAGAGATAAGAAATCTAGAAAGATTCCATGATCTGTGTGGCTCATAGTCACATGGAACGCGGTACGATCCGGTACGGGAACATGGATCGGGAACATGGTTCGCTAGCTTGGACGTATCGGGTACGAGGGGGGGGGGGGGGGGGTAGGTTCATTTCGGTACGCCCCGTACGTCCTGATATGGTGTATCATAGTATCTGGTACGGTGTACCATAGTATCCAATACAGTGTACCATGTTTAGAACATAAGTTTAAGAACAATTAACTTAGATTATAACATAATCACTTCAAATAAGATGTAATATTCCAGCAACTACTTCAAATTTTAAAACATAGAAATTGAAAGTAAATACTAGGAATTAAAAAACAGCAACAACAACAGTTTGAAAAAAACAATAAAACAGGAACATCAACACCTAAATAACTTGAAACTAATTCATCCTTTGCCTTTTTCCATTTCCATCTGCATCAACATCATCTCCCTCTAAGTTCTCCCACTGCAAGTCTTCATATCTTGTACTTGGCCCTTCTAAATTTGTATTTTCTGAATTCATATCCCATTTTTTGGTTGGACCTGCTTTGTAATTTTCAGAAAAACGTGACTAGAGTCGAATGTTTGAGTAGATAAACACCAACTTGTGTGCCCATTTACAATTTAAACGACTTTTTTTCACATTGTGAATATAAGAGTATGTACTCGAGTTTCTTTTTGCTGAGGAGCTACTAATGGGCTGTGAGAGAACTCTTATGGCAACATTAGCCAAGTATAGAGTTTCTGACCCGTAACTTGACCACCAATCAATCGCGTCCATGGTTACCGCATCCATTTGTGATGATGCCATCGAATAAAGTCCTTTTCTCATGTGAAATGTTGCAAATTGCTCTTGCAACATCCGATATTCTTCTTCACTTTCAGATATTCTTTTAAACGCTTCCATGACTCCAAGTACCACTTCTTTATCTAAGTTGGGTGCTTTTCTAGCTATTCCACCGGGTGCTAACATTGAAAGATAACCTGCATCATAGAATCGTGGACATAAAGAAAATCCTAAACAATGTAATGGAATCGTCATCTTCTCCCACCGAGCAAGCAATATTTTTTCAACTTCTGGATAGTAGGAAGCATATTTGTTATTAGACATCACATCTTTAACTTCTCCTAACATGTTGTCCATTTTTTCATACATTTCTCCCATTTTTGCTCCCTTGCCATCACAAAATTTCATCAACAAAAAAATAGGTTTTGTGATGGCTAAAATACTCTCCACATCCTCCCAAAACTCTTCAGTTCTAATAGTTTCAACAACCTTTGATCCAATAATTCTAGTATTTTCATCTCCGTGTTTCACCCAATCTCTCTAAGAATTAAGGGAGATGGTTGTAGACAAAGCTTCTCTACAATCCAATAACCTTTTCAATAATACATAATGAGATGCAAATCTCGTCTTTTCCACGTTTAATAACTCGAGTGTTGAGTTATCTCTAAACATGGTCAAAGCATGAGTATGATTAAGAAAATATTTTACAACCACTTTTCCTCTTTTATATGTGGTCATCAACCAATAGAACGTATTTCCAAGATCTTTGAAAATCAAATTCATTGTATGCACACAACAAGGAGACCAGAAAATGTGTTTGTGTACCTTTTCTATTTCCTTCCCGGCAGTCTTGCAATTCGCAGCATTGTCTGTAACGACTTGTAAGACATTGCTTGGTCCTACTGTTTCGATGGCTCCAAGCAAATAGTTTTCTATTGCAACTCCAGTTTTCTCCACACCAGAAAACTCTTTTGCATACATGAACATCGCCCCACGACTGTTAACAACTATGACATTAATGAGTGGCTTGTGCTTTACGTTTGTCCACCCATCACAAACAATTGAAACACCTTGCGTATACCATGTATCTTTTATAGGATTTAAATCCTTTTCTACATCTCTATGGCATTCATCATGTAAAACTGTCCTTGCTTTCTCGCTAGAGGGAGGCTTATAACCGGCAGGTGCTTTGTTGATAGCACTAACGATCTCCAAAAATTGGGGATTACGTAGCACATTAAACGGAATTCCATTTGCGCAAAGCCCTCTCATGATCTTCAAGTCAACAACGCTTCTTTCCATTACAACAAATGCATCTTCAATAGGTTTCTTAAAAGAAGAGGAAGATTGTTTTTTACTGATTATGGAGTTCTTTAAAGCACAGGACACACCAACCTTTTCAGCATCTCGGACTTTGTTAAACAACCTTTCACGCTTCTCATGATCATTTAGTATAACCGGAAACCTTCTAATTTCTGCGGTCTTGACCGGCATAGCACCAAAAAAGTGTACATGTATCCTTGTATAGGAACTAGTAAACTGTTGTTTGCAATGTTTACAAACCCACTTCTTTGCACCCCCAACATTCTTGCTTGTTGCAGCAGAAATAATGTTTACTTCCTACAATAATGGCTTGTCATCCTTCACTTCAAGAGTGTTAACTTGTTGAGTATCATCTATAAATGTATTATCGTCAGTGCTATTTTCATCTTCATCTACTTCAATATGCTCTATGTTCTCTCTCTGATCAGAAACACCTTTACCAAACACCATTTTTTTTTCCTGTGAAGCCTTTTTTTTTTTTTTTTCTGTTGAGAATGTGTGGTAAAAAAGAAAATCGATGCATCTATATATAAGCATAGAGAAAATTAATTGTTTGTAAATGTGTAAACTGTAATCAATTAATAGTTTAATACTGTAATAATGGAATCGTAGATTCTGTAATGCCGACTGAAATATCAAAATTCAAATAAATGGCTTAAATTAATGTATTGAAATCGTATATTGGTGTATATGGATTTCTCAATGTGAATCGACGTCCCTTATAAAAAAGATATACACAATCAATTGATGGAAATTAGGAGATTTTGTTGCCAAATACTCAGTTGATCGTTCCATGGCTTCAATCGGCGTCACATGGCTTCAATCGGTGATCCCATGGCTTCAATCGGAGATCCCATGGCTTCAATCGACGATCCCCAACGTCAATCGGCGATCTACATGGCCATTCCGATATCCAAGAAAAGTGAATTTTGGGAAGGTGGGTTCAATTTTGAAATCGCTCAATCAATCGATCCAGGTCGCGTTCCCCATGCGTTTGGAGCGAAATCGTACCCCGATCCAGCACACACGAACTGGAACGAGGAACGTGTCCAGTCAGGCGATTTATGTGACTATGGTGTGGCTATTAAGTGTATCTGCATTGATTTTTTGAACAGCATTGAAAAGAACAACAGATGTTGCATATATATATATATATATATATATATATATATATATATATATATATATATATATATATATATATATATATATATATATATATATATATTTGCATCAAGAACAATAATCAATTTCATGTTTTGGTAAAAGACAAAAATCCCATCATCTGATGCATTCTGATTAACCTATAATGTGCATACGATATCTGTTGATGAGAAAATTGTCCCATTACCTAAACCATTGGTAACATAGTTTGTTAGGTTTTAGTTGAACAATCATAGCTTAGGGTTTATCAAATAATAAGAATTGATAGATGATCATACTAAGATACTCGCTGATAGTCAAACCATTGAACCCTAATTTTGGAAACAGCCACCAACAACCTACACAAGCATCAATTACTAAATATCAGAGTTGAAGATATATTGTAAGTGGTCATAGGATTGTCAATATGCAGAAGTTTAACATAATACCAGCTACAATTATAGATGTTGATATGAGAACACCTGTGACTCCAAACAACATGATAGGGAAAAAGTTATGGAAGAACTATTTCTTCTTCACCTGAAAGCTGTTCATATTAAGCTTATAAAAAATTAGGGATACATGTAGAATAGCAGAGGTAATTGGATAATATTGAATCAGATTCTTCTGTAAACTGTTTGTTTTCATCTTCAAGATGATCTTTCCTAGGGAAAATCTGAATTTTGAAACATCACCCTTTCCAAGTAACCCATACTCCATCTCAAAGCAAGTTCTTCCCTTATTGTAATTCTCCACATTATGTGCAACAACATTAAAAAGTTATGCAACACCATGTCCTGAGTTCTTGGATATGAATACCTACAAAAAAGATTATAAAGGAAAATAGCAACAAACATCTACCCAATTAAATCAATGTCATTCAACTATGGAAGTTTACTTGCCATTTGATATAATTTTCTAGGTTTAAAATTATCTGACTCTTCTATGCTTGAATCTGCTATTCTACTGTTGTCATCTAATCCAGAGACTTGAAATTCTACTTTTGGCATCTCAATTATATGAAATATCTTTATAATCAGCATTCATAATATATCAATTAATGATTTTTCTTGTTGGATAATGCAGGAGCCAGAACCTATTGATTGGGAGTACTACAGGAAAGATCTTTCTTTACCAACAAACAAACATGCATACACTTTTATACCAACAAACCTATTGATTGGTAGTAATTTTAATTGCAGTTTTTGTGCAAACATAGAAATCATTCCATTAGGGTTTTAGTTGTTTTTCTAACTTTATTTTACATAAAAATTCAAAATATTTTATAGATAGTTTTGAATTTTTGGTCCTATATCTTTTTTTGTGTATTAACACTCTTGTTTAAAATGATTTGAGTAATGGCCTCATTTTGTGTATACTATCTAGACACCTCTTTTTTCCCTTCCTAACATTCTTTTGAACTATGTTATAATGTGCCAAGTTGGTGAAGGGTAAAACGGTCATTTATCATACTCAAATAGTCTTTATGTATGTAATATTTTTTTTTTAAATTTTGAATTTTTTTAAAAAGTAGTATGCTTAAATTTTTAGTAAGAAATTTCTATAATATTTGTGATCTAACATATTTATAACTTCCTATGTTTTTAAAATATTAGGAAATATGTCATAATTCTTATTAAAAGACACATTGAAACGAAAGCATACAAGTGTACTTTTCATAAACAAACGTACCAATGATGCAAAATCTGTTGGTAATATATCTGCCCTATTATCTACACCAACATTATCGTCATCATCATCTCGTACCACATTATCATTTGTTGGTACTGTATCTGCCCCAACATTTGTTTCACATGTTGGTACTATGGGTGCCATATCATCAACACATGCATCATCCACAACTACATCATCCAACCAATCAATCTTACCTACATCATCTACCCAATCATCTGTACCTACATCTATCCAATCATCTACACCTGCATCTACTACATCATCTGTACCTACATCCATAACAAATTGTAGTAAATTGGTTAAGGAAAATGTTGGTGTTCAACATCAAGAGTATTTACTTGGATCTACAGGACTGGATGAGCGTCTATATATTGGAGTGCGAGATAAGGAGTAAGTTAAAAATTTTACATTTTTATCAACATTGAGCTTCATGATTTTTACAATGTTCTTAATTTTTTCTTTTGTAGGTTATTTACTTCGGGCCCATGTTCTTCCATTATCTATAAATCCTTTGGTGAAAGAGTTGATTTAAATGGGTATAGTTGGGAAACTTTAAGCGACGAGACAAAACTCCTTTATTGGGACGAGTTTCATGTATGTATCTTGTTTATGCAATTGTTATTCATTAACTTAAAAACTCATCTATATATGTTGTATTGTAGAAAAAGTGCTATTGGGATGATGCAAAAACTTCGTTAGTCCAGGCTTGTTGGGAAAATAAGGCAAAGGAAAGATATAGACAATATATCTACAATATAAGCTCAAAATGGAAAAAGTCGACACTAAAAAAAACCTGTTAATATAACATCAGAAGTAACATCAGAAGTGTGGACATCTGGAGTGTAAGATGGAATACTGAAGAGCTCAAGAAGAAATCAGAACAAAACAAAAAAATAGGTGTAGAGGTGTAGCTGATGGACAAACCCTTTCTACGCATACCGGTGGATCGGCTTCTCATTCCAAGATTGCTTCTGATTTAGTAAGTACTCATTTAATTTTATATTATAGCAATCTACTTTCATTTAGAAATACCATTATTTAGTTCTATTTTGATTTTTATAAGGACTAAGCCTAAATGCATAAAATAGCAATCTACTTTCTTTTAGTTTAATATTATAGCATTCTAGTTCCATTTTCATTTTTAAAAGGACTAAGCATAAATACATAAAATAGAAATGTACTTTCATTTAGTTGTATTTTATAGTTTTTCTAGTTCCATTTTGATTTTTAAGAGGACTAATCCTAAAAAGTATGTTATTTTATTTTTCATTTTTAAAGAGTGGAGCCTAAATGCAAAAAATAACAATCTACTTTCATTTACTTTTGTATCATAGCAATCTAGCTCCATTTTGATTTTAAAATGGGTTTAGCCTAAAAGTAAGTTGCTATTTGGGGACATGATCCGGCACACCATGAACTATTCTTGTATACACACACTAAGAATCACGATGGAGTGACTTTTTTAATTGACAAAGCTAAAAAAATTCATGTAAGTTTTATTTTTAATAATTTCATGTAAATTTTTTTTTGATTTTTTTTTTTGTATAAGTTTTATCTCAACACAATTATAAAGTTATAGGATGGTTTTATGGAACGATGTGATCGGTTGGAAGCAATAGGAGAGGAAATTGATGACGACAAAATATTTTATGATGTTGTTGGGGGACATGATCGAAAAAAGAGATTATATGGATTTGGCTCATATGGAAAGCGCATTCGTTCAAGTAAAAAATCTTCTGAAATGCATCGCGAACAATACGAGGATAATAATGCTGAGACAAAAGTCGAGATTGAGAATTTGAAGACGAGACACAATGCGAACAATATGAGGATATTCAACAAAAATATGAGGATGTTTAACAAAAATATGAGGATGCTCAGAAATTTGCTATGGACCAAATGACTACGGAATTTGCTACGGACTAAATGGCTACGAAATTTGCTACGGAACAATTAGCTACGAAATTTGTTATGGACCAAATGGCTACAGAATTTGCTACGGAACAAAATAGATACAAAATTTGCTACATAATTCATTGTTACAGAATTGTGATGGAAGTGTGTTGTAGTTGAAATGCTACGGATAGACATCGTAGCAACAATCATTGCAAAATTACTACGAAACGATAATTTCGTAGTTAAACATTTTACTACAAGAAATCTTACTATAGAATCACATTGACAAATTCTGTAGCAACTTCCATAGTTATTTAGGTTTAGCTACGGAATTATATCATTTTGCTACGGAATTTTTCCGTAGTTAAATCGAAATTTTTTTGTAGTGTGAGATGATATCACAACTAATGGATTTCTGTACAATATGTTGGATCGTTGCACCTTTTTATATCCATATCAGCTTCATTAAGGTAGGGTATGTAATCATCAAAGTTAGTGGGTCTTTTAGACCACCATGACCTCCATAACGAAATTTCGGGTTCATGAAGCTTAGTGATCACAATGACTTGCTCCTTTAAGTGAGATGTGCCTGCGTTCATTGGAGGGTATATAAAACAATTTCTTTTAGTAATTTAAATAATAAACAAAACAGTAAAAATGAAATACACATGTATATTAGTCATTTTAAATGAATTAATGCTGATATATATATATATATATATATATATATATATATATATATATATATATATATATATATATATATATATATATATATATACCTTAAAAAACATTTATAAGATTTTGCTAAATTTTAAAAGGTACAAGCTTTTAAGCATCATATACAATAATTTTATGCATCGGAGAATAATAAATCTTATCCGGTTAGAGACAGATTTTGAATAGGTCTTCTAAGCTTATCTTCAAATTGAATCGGTTAAATATGAAAAAGTCAAATAAGATGATGATAATAAGATTTTGAATGAGTTAAAGTTTGACCAAATGTTCATCATATCCAATTGAATTGGTAAATACTAAATTTTATCCAGTCAACATTTATGAAAAAAGTCAAATAAGATGATGATCATAAGATTTTGAATGGGTCAAAGTTTGACCAAGTGTTCCACATATCCAATTGAATCGGTAAATACTAAATCTTATCCGGTCAATATTTATGAAAAAGTCAAATAAGATGATAATGATAAGATTTTGAATTGGTCAAACTTTGACCAAGTGTTCCTCATATCCAATTGAATCGCTAGATACTAAATCTGTTAATAATAATGAAAAAGTCAAATAAGATGATGATAAGATTTTGAATGGGTCAAAGTTTGACCAAGTGTTCTTCATATCCATTTGAATCGGTCTAATACGATGTACACGTTACAAAACATCTCATATAAACTGGAAGAGGCGCATTGATCTAGCATTCGTCTATTATAAATACCTTGCCATTGACCGCAAAACCTTGGTTCTCTCTCATGCTCGCTGCCTCCTCCTTTGTTTTTCTTTCTATTAAAATCGAATAAGCCCAAAAATGTCTTACGTTTAATCCTAGCCCAGGTATAAGAAATCTCTATCTGTTCGTCAGTTTGTTTAACAAATTTTTTATGTCATTTTGTTGATCCGCACCCGTCGCTTTGCGCGAGTAAACGACTAGTGTGTGTATATATATATATATATATATATATATATATATATATATATATATATATATATATATATATATAAATATCATCAATCACTTCCCAACGGTTCGAGTATTCCCCGACAGTTCGGCCATTTCCCAATGGTGTGGCTATTTCCCGACAGTTCCGCAATTTCCGGACGGTTCAGCCTTTTCCTGACGGTTTGGCTATTTTCCTGACGGTTCCGCCATTTTACTATGGTTTGGCCATTTCCGTACGGTTCGACTATTTCACGAAAGTTAGATCGTTTTGATGGTTCGGTCATCGGTAGTTCTTGCCTACTCTTTCTCAAAGCAAAAAGTACACCAATCACTTTTGTCTTCTCATGGCCACCCATTGAACTTCCTCTCCAAGAAAATGGTACATCCGACTTTCTATATATTTGTCTCAACCCTTATCCTAAAGTAAGTTCGAAACTCTATCTCTCTACATACATACAATCAGTTTCCTTCCATTCGAAGGATCCGACCCATATTTTTCGTATCGACACTAACTTAATTGTCGGAGGCTGCTCCCATGCAAGTCCTGGGGTGATTATAATCCTGGGCGGTCCTACAGTGGAAGCACTTGCCCCCACAACAAAAAAAATTCACTAAAAAATAGGTTTTTTATTTTTCAAAAAAAAAAATATTTTAACCCTTTGAAATTATATATTTTGACTAATCAAAATTCCCCCCCCCCCCATGAAAAAGTTATAATTTTTTTTTGCCCCCTCTTCGAAAAATTCTTGGGTCCGCCCCTGACTATAATGATCCTGTTTATGAATGTAACAAGAATCAAATCGGGGCTCGCTGGCGGCAACACAGAACACATTCGACATCCCGACTCAATCAACCCCGTGACGATTTTCCGGATAACATCAAGTGGTGCCATCCGTGGGACACGAGCAAAATAGTTACTGACTCGTTCCTACATTCCGAGAGCATCGTTTCTTAAACAGTATCTACAAATATGTGTTGTCTTTAAGAAACAACAAAACATCAAAAAAAGGTTACGTTATCCTTCAAAACCTTACTTACATGTTTCTTTCGTTATCAGAGCTTGTTTTCTTCCGCATATTACCATGCATCGTGAAACACAAAGTAAATCTGTCTACCTAATTTCTCCATAAATATGGTACCTTCTGCTTAATGCTTAAGGTTTATCGATGCTTAAAGTAAAAGAAAAAAAAGAATGAGAGTTTGTCGTTCTACAATTAAATCGTTGATGACTTAGTTTGTAGTTTGTTGCATAAACATTGAAGATAATGCTCATATTACAACTATTAAAAATTAAAATATGCATGCAAACGAGATGTTTTGGTGCAACCAAAGCTGTAATAGGATGTTTGTATAGACTGCATTAAATTTTGTATGATGAAGTGGAATTTAATAAAACAACGCTTTGTTTTAGTAATTTTAAAAACCATAGATAGTTAGTTGTGGTAGCTTCTTGCTTGTTTTTTTTTTTTTAGAAAAAACTGTTCACTTATTGCTGCGCCGTGCAAGACACAGGTAATACTTATCACTTGTAGCTGTTTGTTTTTCAAAACAATTCTAACTTAAAAACTGTTATGTGTGTGCTGCGTGACACAACACTTGACTCTCTGCTTCAAACCTCTTCACATTTTATTTTAATTTATCGATGCAGTCAGTACAGGTTAAAAAAAATAGATTTTTTATTATATGCTGCAACCTTTTGGTTCTCTGTTCTACTACAGAGGGCTGCAGAGATGTTTTACAGACTTCAAACATTTTCGTTTCGAAAAACAAATTAAATTACCTATTAAAAACCATAAATATATATATATATATATATATATATATATATATATATATATATATATATATATATATATATATATATATATATATATATATATATATATATATATATGTGACTGGAAACGGTGGAATTTATAATACACACATCGTCTCCGACCATGTTTTGAAGCATCTTAAAAAACAGAAATTATTTGAAATTTTGATAAAAAAATGCGTTTGGCTGTTTAATCTAAGATTCAAGGATATATTTCATCTCTGCCACCAATTTTATTTTTTATTTTTTATTATTATTTTATTTTTTTATTTTTATTTTTATTTTTTTAACTTAAAAATCACTTAAAATTCCCGAATCAGCCCCGAAGAAAATTTGACATCGCTTAACACGAGTTTCCTGTCAACACTCGAGCCTTGGACTTCTGGCTCGAAGGTTTTCTGTATTCACCTGTGTATGATAATAACCCTCTTTCCCTACAAAAGGTAGCGTTCAAATTGCATCACAGAAGAGGTATACATGGTTCAGGTATCTATACTTCGATCACCTATGCTTCTATCATAACTGCACTCGCATGATGATATTTCAGCTTCTACAAGGACTCAAAAACTGGAGAATCTCGAACAGTTTCGAGTGCTCTCTACCCGGAGAGGCTCTGCCGTATCCCTATTATATCTCTGTTTCTAAGGTTCATGCTTGATGATATTTCAATTTGAGTACCTTTGTGAAAGATTTAGAAGTGAAAATCCAGAAAACTGGGTTCAAACCGAGAGCAAAATCAAGAAAATCTGGAGCTAGTTCTACATCCTACCGTGAATCAACCTCTTACTATTTCTGTTTGGGCTATGTCTTCACCTCAGTCACCGGTAAAATAAATGATGGGAACAATGGCAAAGAGCGAACCAACCAAATTGAGGTTTGTCAAGCTCATCCATGAGTTTTCTGTTAAAGATCATCACTAGCCCAATAAAACAAATATTATTTAGAAGACTTTAGCTTGTTCTAGAATGCTCTAGAAGATTCTAGAACATTATGGAAGACTATGGAAGACTCTGGAATATACCGGAAGAGTCTAGAATACTCTAGAACGACATGGAAGACCCTGGAAGGTTATGGATCATTCTAGAAGACACTGGAGCAACCTAGACTTCTCCAGAACATGGTAGAACGTTCTAGAAACATATGGAAGGATGTAGAGTATGTTAGATAGTTCTAGAGTTATCTAGTATGTAGTAAGTGTATGCTAGTATCTAGAACCATCCTAAGAGGCCTATAAATAGGTATGGAGCTCATTTGCTCCAAACCATCCAAGAAAGCCTCAAAGAGAGAGAAGTGTGTAGTAGTCTCACAAAGTGTAAGGTCTTCTTAAGTGTCTTAATAAAAGTCTTGTTGTTTCCCATATAAAAGAGTCGTGTTCAATAATCTGGTATCAGAGCAAGGTTTCTTGATAGTGAGAACGAGTGATTCTCGTTGTATCGTGAGTAGTTTGTGACTCTGCAAGTTTAGTATCGAAACTAGCTTGTTTGGTATTACCGAGGTATTGCCAACACGATGGGTGATCTCC